CAGATAATTAGTTCCATCTAGCTTGACTATGGTTGTTAGAATGATATGTTAGAATGCTTGAGTGTGTTCGGCTAATAAGAATTCCTATTAGCCCATTCTTATGTTAAACTTATCTTGTAACTRGGCCTTTGCTAATGGGCCTAATCTTGTTTATGTCTTAAGTCTTCTGGGTGTCCCATCACTAATTAGGGGTATCCCAGTAATTTCTTTTACTTTGTACTTCACTTATATATAAATAAAGGCATGGTCGACTAGAAGTACAGTTCGACATTCTCTGCATCTCAGAAGTTTCATTCTCTTCTTTGCTAGTTCGAGTTCAGCTTCTCAGTTTACATGGTATTGGATCATTAGCTCCTTCCTGGTTTCAGCAGGCGCACTCTCTTCTCTTGCTGTCTTTTCATCTTCTCTCTTCCTTTTCTGGGTTGCTGCAGTGAAGACCTAGGAGTGTAAGGGAACTCAGCAAGTTCAAACCTAGGGTTTCTCTTGGTTGTAGGACTCAAGGGAAGTAAGACCCAAAAGTAGATGTTTTGATCTGATTAGTGGCACCCGCTTTGTATCTCAGGATGTCACATTTGCTGAGTCTAATTTCTTTAGTATTCCTCCTAAGGGGGAACAATCTGAGGAATCCTTTGCTATATCTCCAACAGTTCCTCTTCCTGTTCCTTTTGAGTCGTTTGATGAGGTGTCCACTTCTCCCATTGGGCCTACCTCCATTATTCCTACTCCTCTTGTAATCCCTCCTCATCCTGTTCTCCGAAGGTGGTACCAAAGACACAGATTCAGACATGGACAAGTTGTTTCCACTCCTATAGAAGAGCCTCTTGCTTCTCCCATCATTACTGAGGTAACAAGTCACCTTCCTCTGACCCATCTACTTCTTTCCCAGACCTTGATCTTCCTATTGCTCTTCGCAAGGGTAAGCGGAAGTGTACAACCCATCGTATCTCTAAACACCTGTCCTATAACCTTTTATCCCCTACCTACTACTCTTTTCTTGCTTCTATTTCTTCCCATGTGATATTCAGGTCTGTACCAGAAGCCCTATCTAAACCTGAATGGAGGGATGCTATGATGGCTGAATTGGATGCTTTGCATAAGAACCATACCTGGGATATTGTGGATTTTCCAGAAGGGAAGGAACCAGTGGGTTGTAAATGGGTATTTGCCATTAAATATCATTTTGATGGTTCTATTGAGAGGTTTAAAGCCAGGCCGGTTGCTAAAGGCTACACTCAGATGTATGGTATTGACTATCTTGAAACCTTTGCCCCTATGGCTAAGATGACTTCAATCCGGGTTTTGTTGTCCCTTGCTACTACTTTTGAATGGCCTCTCCACCGGTTTGATGTTAAAAATGCCTTCTTGAATGGAGATCTACATGAAGAGGTCTATATGCCTTTGCCTCTGGGAGAGTGTGGAAAGGAAATGCAAGGGAAGGTGTCTAAACTGTAGAAATCCATTTATGGTCTCGAACAGTCTCCTCGGTCCTGGTTTGAGAGATTCAGGGCTGCTCTTATCTCATTTGGTTACACAAACTCAATCTGACCATACCTTCTTGAAAAGAAGTGGCTCTCTGGTGACCTTTCTAATAGTTTATGTTGATGATATTGTGGTCACGAGTAATGACACCTAGGAGGTTAGTAAACTCAAAAAGTTTCTTAACTCTAAATTTGGGGTCAAGGATTTAGGAGATCTCAGGTATTTCTTGGGCATTGAAGTTGCTAGATCTAAGGATGGTATCTTCGTTTCTCAGCACAAGCATGTCCTTGACCTCCTTGCAGAGACTGGTAAACTTGGTGCTAAACCAGCCACCACTCTAATTGGTCCTAATCATAAGCTTTCTGCTACAGATGGTGAACTTTTATCTGATAGGGGAGTGTTTCAGAGATTGCTTAGGAAGTTGTTATATCTCTACATGAATTGGCCGGATATTTCCTATGCAGTGAGTGTTATTAGTCAGTTTATGCATTCTCCCAGAGATACACATTTAGCTGCTGCAGAAAGTGTTCTGTATTACTTGAAAGGTACTCCAGGGAAAGGAATTCTATTTGACAAACATGGACACATGAAGCTGGAAGCATACACTGATACTGATTGGGCAGGATGTGTTGATGATAGGAAATCCACCTTGGGTTATTGTGCTTTGGTGGGAGGGAACATTGCTTCATGGAGGAGTAAGAAACAATCTATAGTTGTCAGATCCTCTACTAAAGCAGAATACAGGGCAATGGCACATGGTGTGTCAGAATTATTGTGGCTGCAATCACTTTTAGAAGAATTGGGGGTTGACTATGAGAAGCCAATGACGCTCTACTATGACAACCAGGCAGCTATCAACATTGTACATAATCTTGTTCAACATGATAGAACTAAGCACATTGAGGTTGATAGACATTTTATTCAGGAGAAGTTTGCTTGCCATTTATCGCCTCAGAAGAACAGTTGGTTGATGTTTTGACCAAGGGAGTTCCAAGAGGGAAGCTGACACACTATATAAGCAAGTTGGGCATGATTGGCATCTATGCTCAACTTGAGGGGGAGTGTAGAGAGTCTGGGTCAAATGGGCCCTAGTATCTTTTCTTGTAGTGTTTTATTTATTTATTTGTTTGTTAATGGGCCTATCTTTATGGGCCTGTTATTTCTTTTTATAAGTTCTCTTTATGTTCCTGCCTAGCTGGCCGCCCACTTAAGGGCATACTTGTAATTAGCCTAAAGAATGAAGTTTAACAAAAGGATTAGAGAAGGGAGAGAAGAGATAATTCGAACTCTTCTTCTTCTTCCTCTTCTTTTCTCCATCTTCTTCCTTTGTGCTGCTGTTCTCTACTTTTCTTTTTCTTTTATCTCTAATTTTAACCAAGTTTATATCAGTTTTAGAGGACTGATTCACATCTAAACCTAATCACAAGTTGAGTACTACTAATGGAGATGCTCTTCCAAATAGTAGGGTCTATTAGAGATTAGTTGATCGCCTTTTTGTCTTTGTTTGATTAGACTTGACATATCTTATGTAGCGGGTGTGGTGAGCCAATATATGTATGAGACCAAGACTTCTCACATGCGAGTTGTTAATAAGATTCTTACCTATCTGAGGGGACACCTTAGTAAAGGAATATAATACTCCAACCACAAGCATCTAAAGATTGAGGCTTACATAGATGTAGACTAGGTAAGTTCTATTGATGTTAGGAGATCTACATTTGGCTATTTTTCCTTAGTTGGAGGCAATGTGATATCATGGAGAAGAATATAGGGCATTCAAGCTGATGCCCCAATAAGACTCTATTGTGACAATTGACAACAAAGCATCCATAAACATTGTCCATAATCCAATTTAGCATGACTATACAAGACATATTGAAGTGGATAGACATTTTATCAGAGAAAAATAGCCAATGAATAGATATGCCTACCCTTTGTGAGACCAAAGGACCAACTTGCTTATTCTCTCACTGAGTTCACAAGCCAAAGTTTGTTAGGAACTATGGAAAGTTGGGCATGATAGATATCTATGCTCAGCTTGAAGGGGAGTTTTGAGAATGTGTAATGTAGGGCCTTTTTGGTCTTTTTTCATTTATTTGTATTTGGGCGATGAAGTAAGGGCTTTTATAAATATCATGTATGAGGATGTGGACAGTAACACACTCTTTTTTCTCTTCTTCCTCTTCTCTTCTCTAGTCAACTCAACCCTGAATCTTACAACTACATCATATTGTTTTGTCTATTAGCCTTAGTTTCTTAGCTTTATTTTGTCTATAATTTTCACAATATTTCCATACAGCATTTCTGACATGTTTCCTATATTTGGATGATAGACATTTCCACGAACACTAACATTTTAAACCTTGTATAGGGTAGCTTAATGGAATTGAATTTTAGGGAAATTATGGGACCAACACCAAGGATCTCAATATACTTAGGGTGGGTGGAGATCTGCTTCATGTTAAATTTTAAGTTCCTGAAAGGAAAACCAAAAAATAACTCTCACCTCAATTCACCAGGCAACTTGTCTAAGGGTATTGGGGAACTATCTGGATAATTTGTGGGAACAAGCAATCGTAGAGGCAGAATTGGTGACTGCATAACCATAACCAAAAAGTGAGTAAGCAAATAGACAATAAATGTGTGGTGAAAATATTTGCAAGTCTCAAGGAATGCACCATTAGTGATGATGGATAGTCTGGTATAAAGTCCACTTTCAGAGCCACTGTACTGAACGAGCACTTGACAATGGTGCCTTCACCACTTTCATCAGTGTCAGAACCTATAATTGGGATGGTATCCTCTTCAACCACAGTACTTATTAGCTGTTGGTTTATCTCCCTGATTTCTTTTAGTAGTGCATGGTTGGCCTGAAACAAAAGACTATTATTTCTCTAGAAAACAGAACTGAGAAGAGAAAAAGGAAATAATTAAAAAATGGCAGTGACTAAACATTAAATCTACTAATTTTTCAACCTCTTAATGTCTTAAGACCACTAGAGCAATAAACTAGGTACAAACTTAAATACTTATGCAAGTTTAGGGAGTTAATGCATGGGAATGTTTAATACCAAACAAGTTTCTAGGCACATTCCTCTCCCTGAATTTATTTATCAGGCTGTAATTCACTAAAACAAATTGTGCAATAATCCATTCCAATTTCCATGAATCATAATGATTTCTGACTGAATATCATAAGCAAATAAACCAAAGAAACCTACGAGTATCCCTTTAGATGCTAAAGAAAAGGTCAATTGAAATTGTTTTTACTTGTAATTGATTTAAATGACATAACTACAGTGAATGTGAACACTGAAAATTTAGAAGAATGATTGAAGGGGACCAGAATGGTGTGCATTGAAGTAGGAAAGTGTAGAGAGACTGGATCGAATGGGCCCAAGCCCATTAGTGTCTTTCTTATTAGTTCTTTGTTGTTATGTTTTCTTACTGGGCCTTTTCTTTATGGCCCTTTAGCTCTTTTTATGTTTTCTAAGTATAGTGCTGATGTGGACGCCTACTTAAGGGCTGTTGAAATAATTTAGTTATTTGTGTTAGGGTCTGTTTGGCTAGTTAAAGCCTTTTTTTATTTTCTGTTATTGTACTCACTTACAGCAGGGGCACAAGAGTCTTTTCCCTTCTTATTTCTGCCACCCTATATAATATAATAGAAGCTGGCACCGCCAAAACTATTCCATTGCTCCAAACCTTTTCTTCTTCCTTTCTTTCTTCTTCTCTTCTCTCTTCTTCCCTTCTCTTCTCTACTTCCTCATATTTCAACCGGATTTATTGCCAAGATGGTATCAGAGCAAGGCTGTTGAATCTGGGCGACCAAGTTTTCTCTTCAAGTTACTGAATCTGGGCAAAACAGAGGATTGAATCTGGGCTGATCAAATCAGATCTGCAACTGGTACAACCCTAAAGTTTTCTTTCTTCTTTTATCTCTTTCCTTGGTCGTGTACCAAGTGGAGAACAAATGAATCCAAACCACTAAATGTCGGCAGACTTTTGTGAGGGTTATACCTCTTTTATTTGTTGGATCGTGTGATCCTGTACCTGTGAAAAGGTGACTGTAAGTCACAGATGACCTGTTTTCTCTACTCGTTAGTCTGATTTCATGTGTGATAGGATCTCTCTTATTGATTAATGCTGTGGTCGAACTTACTGGAAAACCAGTAGGCTGGGACTGTTCTTCATGCAGATCTGAAAATCAGTCTCGTCATAGTTCTTCTTTGGAAATTGGTGCTGTTTTTTGTGCTCAGATTAAGTCAAGAACCGAATTGTTGTGTGTGGAGCTTTTGTCAATATAAGGAGGGATCCTAAGTTAAGAGTTTAGATAAAAAAAAAAAACTTTGTGTTTACCATGTCGTCTGAGAATTCTGCTACTTCAGAGATTTTAGGGAGCCACAATGGAGTGAGTGGAGGAATGGATATGAATTTCCCCATGGCTGTTATTCCTTTTGATGGTTTGAACTACCTTGAGTGGTCTAGGGGAATAAAACTCTTCATCACTGCTAGGGGGAAAATATGATATATCAATGGGAGAGTGAAGGAACCGAAGAACGGAAGTGCTGAATATGATAGGTGGAACCAAGTCTTCATTACGAGTCATGTGAACTTGCAAAACATTGTAGACAATCTTTTTCAATGAGTAATAAAATATTTGATTCTCCTTTCCATATTGTGCACTCTGATGTGTGGGGGCCATATCATTTACCTGCTATGGAGGGTTACAAATATTTCATTCTTTTCATTGATGATTTCTCTCGTTACACCTGGATTTACCTTATGAAATCCCGGGATGAAGTACCAAATATTGTACAAAAATTTCATGAGCTTATATTTACCCAGTTTAACACTCGAATCAAAATATTCCGATTTGATAATGCAAAGGAATATTTTGAGAAGAGCCTTTCCTCCTACTTTGATACCTTTGGAGTTATTCATCAGAGTTCCTGCTCCTACACTCCTCAACAAAATGGAGTGGAGAAAATGAAGAATAGACATGTGGTTAAGGTTGCGAGGAGCCTTCTTTTTGCTTCCCATGTTCCTGTTAAGTTTTAGGGTGATGTTCTTACAGCTACATACTTGATAAACCGAATGCCTTCTCGGGTTCTGGGGTTTAAAACTCCCTTTAGCTTGCTTTTCCCAAATGAGGATCTCTTTTCTCTTCCTCTCAGGGTGTTTGGGTGCACTTGCTATGTTCATGTTCATAGTCATTAAAGACATAAGCTTGAGCCTAAAGCACACAAGTGTGTCTTTTTGGGATATGCCTCCACACAGAAGGGGTACTGCTGTTTTGATCTGGTTCGTGGCACTCGCTTTGTTTCTAAAGATGTCACATTTGTAGAGTTTATTCCTTTCTTTGGTACTTCTCTTGAGGGGGAGCATTCAGAGGAATTGTTTGCATTGTCACCATCTGTTCCTCTTCCAATTCCCATTGAATCTTTTATAGAGTCTCCTCTAGTCGAGTCATCTATCCTTACTTCCCCTCCTCCTCCTATTTATCCTCATACTTTTCCTTCCCATCCTATTATCCAGAGGTGGTACCAGAGACAAAGACTCAGAGACATGAAAGTTGTTTCCACACCTTCAAATGTGCCTCTTGCTCCTCCCATCACTACTAAGGTAACTGGTCAGCCCTCTTCTACCACTTCGGATACCTTCCCTGACCTTGATCTCCCTATTGCCCTTCGCAAAGGCAAATGGAAATGTACAACTCATTGCATTTCCAAACACCTGTCCTACAACCTTCTTTCCCCTTCCTACTATTCCTTCCTTGCCTTTGTTTCCACACATGTGACTCCTAGATCTGTCTCAGATGCCTTGTCAAAACCAGAATGGAGGGGTGCTTTGATGACTGAACTACATGCTTTGCATAAGAACAATACCTAGGAAATTGTGGATTTGCCTGAGGGAAAGGAACCGGTTGGCTGTAAGTGGGTGTTCACTAATAAGTATCATTCTGATGGTACTGTTGAGAGATATAAGGCCTGTTTGGTTGCTAAAGGATATACCCAGATGTATGGTATTGACTACTTAGAAACTTTTGTCCCAGTAGCCAAGATGACTTCAATTCAAGTTTTGCTATCTTTAGCTACTGCTTTTGATTGGCCTCTTCATCAGTTTGATGTAAATAATGCTTTTTTGAATGGGGACCTACATGAAGAGGTCTATATGTCTTTACCTCCAGGGGTGTATGGGAAGGAGATGCAAGGAAAGGTCTGTAAACTAAAGAAGTCTCTTTATGGCCTTAAGCAATCTCTTAAAGCCTGGTTTGACAGATTTCGGGCTTCTCTTGTTGCTTTTGGGTACGTATAGACTCAATCGAATCATACTTTGTTTGTTAAGAGGAGAGATTCCTTATGACCCTTCTGATTGTCTATGTTGATGATATTGTGGTTACTAGTAATGATACTCGGGAAATTGTTCATCTCAAAAGCTTTCTAAACACTGAGTTTGAAATTAAAGACTTGGGAGAACTCAGATATTTCTTGGGAATTGAAGTTGCCAGATCTAAGGATGGTATCTTCATTTCTCAACGGAAGTATGTTCTTGATCTCTTTGCAAAGACTAGCAAACTGGGGGCTCGACCTGCTTCTACTCCTATAGACCTAAATCATAAGTTACCAGCTACTAAAGGTGAACTATTGCTTGATAAGAGAGTGTTCCAGAGACTAGTCGGGAAGTTATTATACCTTTGCATGACTCGGCCAGATATTTCCTATGCAGTTAGTATAATCAGCCAATTTATGCATTCTCCTACAGATACACATTTAACAGCTGCTGAGAGAGTTCTATGTTATCTAAAAGGGACTCCAGGGAAAGGTATCTTGTTTGCTAAGCATGGACACATGAAGCTGGAAGCATACACTGATGCTGACTAGGCTGGATGTATTGATGATAGGAGGTCCACTTCAGGTTACTGTGCTATGGTAGCAGGGAACATTGTATCATGGAGGAGTAAGAAGCAGTGTGTAGTGGCAAGATCCTCAACTGAAGTAGAGTACAGGGCAATACCACATGAAGTTTCTGAACTTTTGTGGTTGAGATCACTTTTAGATGAATTGGGTATAGACTGTGAGAAGCCAATGATGTTATACTATGACAACAAGGTTGCTATCAACATTGCACATAATCCTATTTAACATGACAGAACTAAGCACATTGAAGTTGACAGGCATTTTATATGAGAGAGGGTTGCCTCAAGAGAAGTCTATCTGTTATGGATGCATTCGTGGGGAAGAAGTACCGCCGCCGGCAGCAGCAGTAATGTGGGACCCTCATCAGATTATCTAGCTAGCCACAGTTCATCTTACCTTATCCTTATCTTATCTGCTTTCTTATTCTTATCTTATCTGTTCTAATAAGGATTAGTATAGAGTCTGATTTATCTTAGGGAGTTTTTATCCTTTTTGAGTAGGGAGTCTTATCTAGGAGTCTTATCTATCTTATTTGTAAGCAGTTTAGTTAGTCTTATCTAGGAGTCTTATCTATCTTATCTGTAAGCAGTTTAGTTATCAAGGAGTCTTCCTACAAGGAGGACTCTTACCTCTTGTAATCTCCTATTTAAGGAGCTGAAATTATTGAATAAGGATATCAAAATTTCCAGTCAAGAAAGAGAGTAAAAGGAGAGTTCAGTGATCTCTTGGACAAATCACCCTCTAGGACGCCAAGATAGGTTCAGCTAGGAAGGGGAGGAATAAGGGAAAACAGCAGCTTTTCCCCGTGGACCGACCCGTGACAAGATCCTATTCCCGGGCCCATAACACTATCTACCATTTGTTGCTTTTGAAGAATAGTTGGCTGGTGTTTTGACAAAAGGTATTCCTAAAGGAAAGCTGGTTCACTATATAAGCAAGCTGGGCATGAT